ACATACTACAGAGTGTGATGTTAGAAGCCTTCCTTCAAGACCCTCGAAATTATGAGGACCTTAAATTTGGGAAGAAGACAGCCCAGCCTGGTGCGGGAGTGTCTTCTCAAAAGATCTGGGATCCTCGTTGTTCCCAGGGTCTTGAAAGAAGAATGATGTGACCCTTGTCTAGACGCCTCAAGTGGAATCCGGGATAATGTGAATATATTTATATTTTGTTACCTCAGCTTTGTTTTTTTACACTTTTATGTGGCTTTTATGTGGCCCCGGTTAAATAGGCTTCCTTATTTAACAACAAGGTCCTGTTAAAAAATAAAAGAAGCAGTAGTAGATAGAGCAATACTCACTCTTATCTACTATGCTTAATGCTCTGCGTTCTGGTGTTGGTACGCTTCTAACCCACTTGTCAAGGGCATCATGGACATGCCATGTCACGAACCTGCCACGTCATGAACATGTCATCTGGGGGCACGTCATGAAGCTGTCGTGGACTTACAGGAGAATACAGTAGAAATGGACGCTTATGTCATTATATGGCACTGTTTTTTGCAGCAATCAGATTAACCAATGCCAGAGGAAGAAGAGAAAGGCAACCTGCAGTGTCACATGACCAGCCAGAAGTCTCTAGGAGTTGGAGCCCAGTTCCCAGCTCAGCCTCCAATTTTTTCAGAAGTTTTCAGGCTCGTAAAGTCTTCTTTCTCTTTGCCACTTGCTGGCCCAGAGCAGTCATCTCCTGACACAAAGAGCGTAGCTGACATAATGAGTGTTCCCATGGCTGGAATCCTCCTTTAGGCTGGCTTCACACTTATGTATTGTGGCAGCATGCACTTTACCACAATGCATGGTAACATACCTTACATGCCTATGTACGTTGTGGTGCCATTCATTTTGAAAGGCACTCCAGTGCACCTGTGTTGCTGCGACCGCATTGAGAAAAACTAGAAAAAATGGTACATGCATGAATCTATAACCAGCCTTTATAGCAGGGCGCACATTGGGAAGGCTTACAACAATCCAAAACACAAAAATTCCCCAGCCTCAATCTGCCAGCCAGCCTGCAACCAAACAAGTAGCCCTGTCAACAGTATGCGTTAAAATCAGAGGTTTTAGTTGCACAAACTTTTGGCCAAAAATATTTAGAAGCCACACTGCCGCGCCAAGGCACTTCTGCAAAGTGTGGTCCTAACTCTATGTATCCGAGTCTCCAAGTGTGAGCATATTAATGAAGTTGATAAATTACATGCAGGTGTACCTGGAGGTAGCCAACTCCTCCTGATAAGGTGCAGGGATAGATTCATGCATGTACCATTTTTTCTAGTTTGACTATTTTGGTTTAGGAGGACGCACTGGGGTCCCAGCGTGCATTTTTGGTTGCTGGGCCTCCAGTGCGTCCCTGCACCTTATCAGGAGGAGTTGGCTACCTCCAGGTACACCTGCATGCAATTTATCAACTTCATTAATATGCTCACACTTGGAGATTAACATACATAGAGTTAGGACCACACTTTGCAGAGGTGCCTTGGCGCGGCAGTGTGGCTTCTACATATTTTTGGCCAAAAGTTTGTGCAACTAAAACCTCTGATTTTAACGCATACTGTTGACAGGGCTACTTGTTTGGTTGCAGGCTGGCTGGCAGGTTGAGGCTGGGGAATTTTTGTGTTTCGCATTGAGAAAAAGGTGCAGGAGTTTTTTTGTCTGTTCTGGTACATTGGCATCCCGTTCATACCAATGGGCTGCCTAAAGCTTGCCATACAATTGTAGATTTCCAAACAAATTTTCATGCAAAAGACCTTTCTTTACCAGCTGTTAATGCCATCAGACACTTGACAAATGTCAATCAAAATTTCATTTGATTTTAACATTCGATTTTTGAATAATTGGAGCTTCCCAAACAAAAACCACATTCAATATTAGAATTTTGTTTGTTTGAGAAAAATTTTCATCCTGCTCCTTCGAGTTTTTTGTCACCATGGTTGAAATCGATTGTCATTTTGACCCCATCAACTAATAAAAAGTCGAAAAGAAAGTTCTTTCGAAAATTTAAGCAGTGTATGGTGAGCTTTAATGTAAAGTAAGGCCTAAGAGCAGACAGATGTGAAGGGGCTCTAACAGAGGTGACTTGACTGGGCTTCAAATGTATTTGCAAATGTATGCAACAAAAGCTTCTGTTTTTAAAAGGAGATTTGAAACAGTTTAGTTATCTTTATTGTAAAAGTGTGCTGGGGTATGGTTTTGTACCCTACCCTATTTTTGCTGGTTTTAAAATTATTATTGTTGCTTTTATGGACAGGGGGTTGTCACCAATAATGGAAAGAGCCTATATAAGGACCCTGGTGGCGGGATCTCCATGTAATATATGAGTGATGTAGTAATAAGCATTAGTAGTAGTAGTACTATTATTATTACTATTGCTCAGTTGACCAAATTTACAGAATGTCTGCCCATTTGATTTTGTTGCCTGTGACTTGCTGTTAATTGCTGCACACTTAGAGCTGCCTTGCATATTTAATATAAACCGTGTTGTGAAAAATCTCCTATATGGGAGTTGGGGATGTAAGGATAGTGAAAATGACTTGATATTAGAAATTACATTAACATTGTGATAGGGTTTAGACATACTTTACTTATTGTTATGAGAATGATCTGGTTTAATACATTTGTACCACAGTTATTCCAGACTGTCTTTTAGAGGGAACCTCCTTTTCAAAAGTTTCCTCATGTTTAGTCAAACCATCATTTCCAGCAGTTAAGGGAATCAAGAAATGTGGAAAGGATATAATTAGCCCTGGAGCACGGACACACCTTTTAATTATAAGGCAAAGCCAGGCATATAAAAAGGTGTTGCTGATAGATGAAGGTCATGGAAACACCGGGACATCACTAACACGGCTGAGGGTAATATTATATATTATGGATTTTCATTGCACATAAAAAAATCACTTCACATTGAAGAACATTTTTTTTTAAGTTTTAAGTCTTACTGAGTGTCATAAAGTTGAAATCAGGAATAATGAAGAATTTTTATATACTAAACTCTGTTGTTTACTGCTGTCAAATCTACATATGTACAAAGATATGTGAGACATTTTGATTCAGTAGCATTTGGAAAGTAGTAGTAGTAGTAATAATAATTAGTAGTAGTACTATTATTATTACTATTGCTCAGTTGACCAAATTTACAGAATGTCTGCCCATTTGATTCTGTTGCCCTTGACTTGCTGTTAATTACTGCACACTTAGAACTGCCTTGCATAGTTAATGTGAACCGTGTTGTGAAAAATCCCCAACATACAGTGCCAGGGTCCTTTTACCATAGGGGCATTGGGGCATTTAAACTACAACTGAGTCAGACTCCTTCTTCAAGATGACAGTATGAAGATGTACCCACTGAGGACATACATTGTAGAGTTTGGGTGCTGCCTAGAGTAGCTAGTACTCATTTAATTTTCCTTTACAAAAAAAGATAAAGCCTAGTTGGTAATTATGGGCAATAACCCTACACTTATTCCGTTTCTTGTCTCTAGTTTTTCATATACGCAGGTTGGTTGTAATATGCAGCCCTCTGGCATCTTGCATGAGTCTGCTATGTCTAACATCAAAGAAGCAATTTTCTTCAGCTTGCTAATAATATTTACATCTTGCCTTACATAGATTAAATGATGATATTTAAAAATTAAAATGACACCAAACTCAGAAGTTAAATCTTAAAAATGCATTCAAGTACTTTAACTATTAACATAATTGTATCTTATTTGTGTATCGCTCAGCTGTAAATCCTAAAATCATCTCTGAATTGGTGCTGATACTGTACTTTCTTCTGGAGGGTGGCTACTTTCCCATGGTCCCTGTGTGTGTTGTAAAGTAGCCAGCACTCCAAATTCACTCCCGTGATGGACTACAATCTCAGGTTTAGTTTAATTTGTAATCTCTGCTGCATCATAAATGTCACCCTTTCTTTTAAAAAATGCCCTTCAGTGCAATGAGTTATAGGCTAGGTCAGAAATACATTTTTCTTGCAATGAACTGATGCATTGGTGACGTGACTTGTGTCAATATGCTGGATTAGAAATAAGAGACCCCATAACCCGTTTGCAGAGACAATTTGATTACTTCTGTAGTCTGACAATTTTCCAGAATAAAGTACACATTTCTGTCCTAGCTCTGCTTCTTTACTGACTACACAGGGTGTTGATTTTATTTTTAGGTACAGTTCCACTTTTATGGATCAGAATAGTGAGAATGACTTGAAAAACTCTTACCTAACTATGCAACTCATTACAACAAATTTTAGATTAGGTTCATTTAATGCTGATCTCTCCTGCCTCCCTACATTGTACATGGACATAATTACCATGCAAAATGTAGAACTGACTCAGGCCTTATTCACACCAAATGCAGAGCAGATCCGGTCAGGTTTCTGCACACGCACGCTAGTCTTTTTGACGCATTTTGTGCCGCGTTCCGGGCTCTTTTTGGTTAAAAAAATTTGTTTTTTAAAAAGTTTAAAATGGGCTTTCAGTGCGTTCCAGGCATTTGCATGCATTTTTGATGCGATCCAGAGCAGATTCAGAGCAGGTAAAAATGGGCCTGCTGCAGTTTTTTCACCTGCTCTGGATCTGCCCTGCAACTGCACGCTGCGATGTGAACTGGAGCAAAAAATACCATTGGAATACATTGGAGGCAGTTTTGATCCGGTCTGCAACTGATCTGCTCTGCACCTGCTCCACGCTTGGTGTGAACAAGGCCTTAAAATGACACTAAACTCAAGCCTTACAAATGCATTCAAGTACCTTAACTATTAACAAAAATGTATCTTATTTGTGCATCACTCGGCTATAGATTTAACAATTATTGACTTCTCGTATCCAGGTACAAAGAGAAAACTCTATTCCTTATTAATGACTGGACCAGAAAATCATTGGTATTTCCAAAAATATTCATCCTTGAACAGGGATATATCTTTCACAGTCACCTTTTTCAGCTTTTTAACATTCTATCTGATGCTTCCCGTATTTATTTTGGTCTCTATAACAGTGTTGGGTGTCAGCACCATGATTGCAGTGTTTACCAATTCACTTATCATTGTGGTGAACCTCACAGACAAAGTCAAGGGTAAGAAATTAAACCCATCTGACCTCATGGTGGTCACTCTCTGCATATCCAACATTTTGTTTCAGTTGATCATGTTGGTAAATGATTATATGAGTTTCCTAGATGGTGACACTTACTTTACTGAGGAAGTCTACATTTTATCCACTGTCTTACTCATGCTTCCAATCTACTCCAGCTTTTGGTTCACAGTTTGCCTCTCCATCAATTACTACTTACAGATTGTAATATCAACTCATCAAATTTTAATCCGACTAAAGCTTGCAGCCTCAAAGTTGATCCCATATCTGATAATATCTTCGATTTTTATATCATTGGCTACTGGCCTCCCTGCAGCCTGGAACTTCTACCGAGCACCACAAAATTTTAATAATTTAAGTGATGAGAGTGAGGAAATCACTGTTCCTAGACTGAGTGTTGTATACTTACTGCCCAGCAACTTCATCAGCTGTACCATTCCATTAATCTTAGTTGCAATTGCCAATGGTCTCATAATCAAGACTCTTGTAACTCATAGGTCAGACAGAAATGCAAAGGGAGAGTTGAGTGCTCGAGCAGAAGGTCGAGTTCGAGCTGCCAGAACAATAAGTTGTCTTCTGTTCATATACGTATCATTCTACATATCAGAGATACTGGTGTTTGTGGATGTTTTCCCCCAGAGCAGCCCAGGATTCTGCACATGCTTGATGGTCATCTATAGTTATTCACCTGCACAGTCAATTGTCTTAATTTTCGGGAGCCCAAGATTAAAGCAAGTGTCTCATAGTTTTTTCCGCTGTAATAGATATCTAAACAAAGAAAATCCAAGGACTCCAACTGTTTTGTTTATCAATCCATAGCATACTGGCTACAACTGGCCATACACAGTGATCTGATCTTTCAGGAACAAACCGTCACGCACTCTGGAAATCTCTCTTTAACATCCACTATGTCATATATAATAATCAATAATGTAATACTGCCTGTGATGTAGTACAAACTGGCACCAGCTTACTGTATTTCCGTTGTATCAGCAGATATTAAAGCAGTTTACTTTTCATTTTTTTCATGTTTTAATGATTATTCATGTAATTATAAAGTGACCATTGCTGTGTGTGCAGTAGGCACAATATCTAAATTTGGTAAAACTTAAATATGTAGAAAATTAGACAATTTTGGTCTTAAATTTTTGATTCTCCAGTGCTATATTACATTTTTGTGTGTGAGAGCATAAGCAGTTCTAATTAAAATGTGTTTTCTGCACATGCTCATGATATACAGTTTATTCAATTTTGATAATGTTGTGTGTGCAAAATGTAATAGATAAACAGATTGTTTTTAGTGAAAAAATATAGACACAAATACCATCCTAAGATTTCAATCTTTATATGTGTTGTCCATCTAAGGCTGCATGATGTCTAGAAAACGTATACAGTATGTAAAATATTTTCAGAATGTTTTCCTTTTCCTAGTTTCTATAGGGTAATTGTTTGTCATTTTTTTTTCTGAATGCGTCCTGTTGGTAAAATTTCCCCTTCACTTCCTGTCCTAGAGATGCAACATAAAGTGAGCGAAAATCTCTCCAATTCCCCTCTTAGATAGTTGTCACTGGACCAGGTGTCGCCATTGGAAGATTTTCCATCACCTCTTGTTCTGGTAACTGCTGTAACATTTTAGATTTCCCATCACTTTCTGCCTGGTCACAAGGACAATCAGAGAGGGAGAATCTAACTAGTGAGAACAGAGAAAGCAATAAAACTTGACAGGGGATGTCCTTTATCCCGCCCTCTATCCAAAACTTAAAGATAGAGGGCGGGATAAAGGACATTCCAAAGATAATAAGGGATACAACAAAGAGAATGGTTTCACTGTAAAGTGGAAATTTAATGATTTCCTGTATGAATTACTTAGGACTTACTGGAGGAAAGACTTCAGAAGGAAAAAGTGAAGAGAAGGGAAGAGAGAAATAGAAATAGGGAAAAGAATACGGGAAGGATTCAGTAGGACAAAGTAGGAGGGTTTTCTATGATCAACAGCCCCCAGAGCATTAACCCTTTTGCAGCCACCAATGTATTGCCCCTGTGAGCAGGGCCACTAAACATGTGGCCCCCCCGCCCAACACCCACTCTATTCGTCCCCATCACCCACCCTATTCGTCCCCATCACCCGTCCCCACGAACACACACATGCTAATGCAAACATGTGTTAGGTGCGCCTACATATTAAAACGATGATTGTGCCACACGTTAGGTATAGCCATGTATGCCACAAAATTTTAATAGTGAGAGAAATAATTCTTGGGCCAATATTTACAGTTATTCTAAACTGATGACCTGTACAGGCTTTTAAAGCATTGCCTATGGGCAATTTGGGGTACCAGATTTTCCGCTGTTGCACACATTTTTTAAGCTTGGCATGTTCGGTATTTACTTACTCGCCACAACCTCATCTTTTATATTTTACAAAAACATTAGGTAATACTGTATATTGTGTTTTTCAGCACAAAAATCAACATGACCGAAAGGGTCTCTGCTTTTAGTAAATATATATTAAATCATTTTCAGGCCTAAAATGGGGATTATAACATGTGTGCAAAAAAAGCCACAAAAAGCCTCTGGCAGCAAAAGGGTTAAAGTACCTTTGTACAATTGTCCTTTGATCAGTTCCTCTTACCCCCTGAGTACTTCCTAACTGGACAAATACATAAGCTCCTCCTCAATCCAGTGATCTTCTCTGTGCATCCCTGCTTGGCACTGCGCAGTCTTTGCAGCAAAAATTGACTCTTCTTGGTGCGCCTGCTTGCCGCAGCTTCATTCATTCCAATAGTTTTAAATTCCAAAAATTAATTCCACCTAGGGGAGTAACCATAAAAAAAACCCATAAAAAATTCAAACCAACCCTGCCACCCCCGCTATCTGGTCGGCATTCTCCTCTGGGGGTGGGGGGGGCGCGCATTGCCGAACCCGGCATGAGGTGGCAGGGAGTGTAAATCCGGTCCTGACTAAGGCCTCATTTAGATGGGGCGTACACGTCTGTGCGGCGTGCATGCTCGTAAATGAGCCAATCCTGGGAGGGACAGGGTGTGCAGATGACAGCCTACAGCTTGTGCTCCCATAGGGAAGAACAGGCTGCTGCATGCAATTACACTCAGCACCTGTCGCTCCCGTTTACGAGCGTGCACACCACAAGGACGTGTACACCCCATTTGAATGAGGCTTAAAACTTAGTATATATAAACCATCACAGAAGGAACTAAATAGACACTGTCAGGTAGAAGATCAAGTTGTCTTCCATCTGACAGTGCAAGAGATGCAGCCAGGACCATGGTGCTACAGGGGAGGTAAAAGAGGTTTACCAGTACACTGCATGCACACCTATAAGGAACCCTGATATCTTTATTGCTATTCTGGGTCCTACTGTATAGATAAGTTGTTCCGTGAATAGTAGCATGTAAATAAAGTGAAATTTACTCTGGCCTGGGCCTGAGATGGCAGCACTCAATGTACAGAGAAAAATTAGACCTTTATTTGTAAAGTTGTGTGGTGCCCCACTTGGCCTCTGAACACACATATGTGAATGCAAATGTACAAGAAGGGCACGCACATGTATGTAAACAACAATTGTTCAACCCATATTGGGTACACCGGAATGAGAGGAATAATTTTAGGCCCCTTATTTATGGGTAACTCTAAACTGATGAGCTGTAATAGCATTTGACGTGCTGCCTACTGATAATTTTGGGTACTGTACTTTTTATCCATTCTATTAGATCCAAAATTTAATAGATCCATTCTATTTTGCGGCTGCACATAGTTTTGAGACTGTAGCCCAGACCTTTCACCAATTGAAAATATTTGGCTCATCTTGAAACGAAAAATACGACAAAAAAGAACCAGGGCTGTTGAGCATTTAGAATCCTATATGCAACTGGTCCCCTCAGTTCCCTAATGTTTACAGATTGCTGTTAAAAGAAGAGGGGATGCTACACTGTGGTAAACATGGCCCTGTCCCAATCTTTTTGAGACCTATTGCTGCCATCAATTTTAAAATTACCTTATTTTTGTCTTAAAATTGCATATTTTCTCAGTTTAAACATTTGATATAGTTTTTATTTTCTATTGTGAATTAAATATGAGTATATGAGAATTGCAAATCATTGCATTCTGTTTTTATGTGGATTTTACACAGCGTCCCAACTTTTTGGGAATTAGGATTGTATAAAAAAACTGGGGATTATATTATTTGTTGTTTGAAAACATGGTCTGATTGCATATTTTTCAGAGAGACCTCATGGTGCCCTTCATTCCAAGAGCCAAAAACTCTGGCAGTAGCACTCCCTGCCATTTTACTTATTATATATTGATTGACCTCACAAAACCATTACTTAGCTACTATAGCAATATACAGTATATATCACCTGTGCTGACCAATAAAAGTCATATGAGAAAATGAGTCATATGTCTAAGGACACATTTTATAGAGCCAACATAGTGGTACCTGGTAATGAAAGTTGATTAGGAAAGGTTCATGTGCATTTAGGTTCCTTAACCTGCAATATTCTGTTTTAAACAATAACCTTGTAAACCCATTTCTGCTTTACACTTCCAAAATACTATAATTCTCCAACAGTAGCTGCCACTGAGAACCCATGCAAATTTGTGGGAACAGCTTCATAGTGCCATCTCGCATTCACTGACCCTCCCAAAAGGAGGGTCAGTGAATGCTGACATAGACCCTCAGGTTTGTACAGTGATGTATACCTCATTTGATGTGGCCATCTCATGGGTCCAGCAGTACGGGAGGTGTATACTGTCAGCTAAGAATGACATAGAGGCCTCTTTCTATTTGCTTCTGGTCCATCCCAAGAGTTTTCACATATTTGGTTGTCAGTGGCAGGGTGGGTACTTTGTAGTTCACTGACTGCCTATGGACTGCTCTATGTCTTGCATTTTTTTTTTTTAGATATTCAGTGCTTTCCTTAAATGGGTAGTTAAATTGAGTCCAAGATATGTGGGATGTTGCTAGCTACACTGCAGAACTTGGCAGTACAGTTTGGGTGCCACTGGTAGCAGACATGACTGAGGGTCCAGCCACAGAAATGTGTTTTCTGGGGATACTATTGATTCAGAGGTGAAGGAATCCAGGTTGACCTGGGGCAAGCTGCTGACGCTTGAGGTCAAGCTTGCAGATGCTGGTCTACAGTGGAAGATTCAGCTGCGGCAGCTTCACTCGCTGCTGTTTAAGTTGAACTTTGCCTGTCGAATTATTCCCATGGAGTATATTTTATCCTGCAGGTATACATCCAGTCTGCCAGTCACTATATTATAATGACCCGGAACCACCAGGAGGATTTGCATTTATGGTGGTTATTCCTGGTTTCATGTAATGGCCACTCATGGATGGATAGACTCGTGCCCATCAGTAACAGTGAGTTTGAACTGTTCATTGATGCAGTGGGCTCTGTTAGGAATTGGGCCCACTTCAGAGGGCAGTGGAGTGTCGAGCTGTGGCTGCTCCACTTAAAAATCTGGTTCTGGTTGAGCTGTTTCCTGTTGTGTTCGTGGTAGAGCTTTAGGGTGCATCTTTGCAGAACAAATGGGTAAATTTCAACTGCAGCAATATGGCATTGTGATGACCATTAACAACATGTTAGCGTCATCACAGCCAATAATCCATTTTCTGTGTGACTTTGTTTGAAATTGAACATTTTAATTTATGCACTTCACATTCTGGGTTCAGCTAATAGGATGGGGAATGCCTTTTTTTCGGTTTCAGTATAATGAGTTCAGTGTGTTGGAACTGGATGCAGAGCAGCATGGTCTCCTTGTCCTATGAACCTGTGGCAGATAACTTTGGAGTC